AGAGTAAGGTGTTGTCGGGGTGGTTGGACAACAGGTGGAGCCGCAGGGCGTGGATGATGCTCTCCTGGATGCGCTCGATCTGCGACACGTCGCTCAGTCCTGGACGGTCTGTCGGTGGAGATCCAGAGAGAGAGACGTAAGAATAATTAATAAATACTTGAAATACTTGAAATACTTAAAATTACTCAGCTGATTCATGCCATTATTTTCTCTTCAAATTATTAATTTGTGACCCTGGACCACAAAACCAGTCATAAGGGTCAATATTTGGACATTTAGATTTATACATAATCTGAAAGCGGAATAAATAAGCTTTCCATTGATGTATGGAAATGTATCTTGTTAGGATAGGACAATATTTGGCTGAGATGCAACTATTTGAAAACCTGGAATCTGAGGGTGCAAAAAAATAAAAATATTGAGAAAATCGCCTTTAAAGTTGTTCAAATTAAGTCCTTAGCGATGCATAGTGCATAGCAATTCAAAAATTAAGCTTTGATATATTTACAGTAGGAAATTTACAAAATATCTTCATTTTGATATTAATACCAGACTTTTCAAATAAAGGACTTTCCTGTTCAGTTGCTATGGTGTCAAAATTTGTATTAAACATCATGACGTCACTGCTACTACTGTACAGTGTGTCCATGAATTATGCATTTTTTGTTTTTGCTAACGCTGCGTCTCTTTAGCATATATAGGTTGTAAGAAAACAGAGCAGCCTCCAGGAAGCTGCGGTCTGTGGAAGCATCTGCTTTCGGGTCCCTGCCACATGGCAGCAGGAGAGGAAACTGTGGTTATTTATTTTCGCTAGCCCTCAAGAGAACAAAATCCCCATCTCACTCCGACCATTATTATGTCATGCCTTTCAAAAGCTGCTGGCTGTGGGACTCCAGAGGTGACATAAAAACAACCTGAACCACAACTAACCTACTTAAAGTTCAGCAAAGGAGATTACATTAAAGTGATAGTTCACCCAAAAATGAAAATTCTGTCATTAATTTCTCACCCTCACGTCGTCCCAAACCCATAAGACCTTTGTTCATCTTCGGAACACAAATTAAGACATTTTTGATGAAATCTGAGAGCTTTCTGACCCTGCATAGACAGCAATGCAACTGATATGTTCAAGGCCCAGAAAGGTAGTAAGGACGTCGTTAAAATAGTCCATGTGACATCAGTGGTTCAACGTAATGTTATGAAGCTATGAGAATCATTTTTGTGTGCAAAGAAAATCAATAATGACTTTATTCAACAATTTCTTCTCTTCTTTCTTTGTTGTCACATGGACTATTTTAACCATGTCCTTACTACATTTAGCTCCGTTGCTGTCTATGGGAGGGTCAGAAAGCTCTCAGATTTCATCAAAAATATCTTAATTTGTGTTCCGAAGATGAACGAAGGTCTTGCAGGTTTGGAACGACATGAGGGTGAGAAATTCATGACAGAATTTTAATTTTTAGGGAGAACTATCCCTTTAATATGGAGTAAGATGAGCCTGAGAGTACTTCAGGTTAAATAAAATATGTATGTATGTATTTATTTATACATTTAAAGCACCATTACTGTAGTAGCCTTATGGTCCTTTAAATTTGCATTCAAAAATAGGGGGTCTCCAAAGTTTGATGCAAAAGACCCTAAATATAATCTTATATATAAATTATCATGTATAAATACCCATTTATACTGTGTCAGAGTAATAGTAAGTGTAAAAAATAGAATATGTTTTTTTTCACTGTACTTGTAAGTCAAAACAATTTAATCAAGCAATTTAAAATATTCCTTTTGTTTTTTTTCTGCCTACTATTACATTAATGATACTAGATGTATGAGCATAGCATTTATCCATGCATACATAAATAAATTACTTTCCCCATACTTAACAAATACCCTAAGATAACTTAAAAAAAATATATACTGTATGATAAATACTTACTTTAAAATAAAGTTTGGCAAGCCCTAAAAATTAATATTTGGTTAAATAATGTTCTTCTTTAGCACCCCTGTATGACCCCCGGCCCCCAGTTTCAACACCCCAGCTCTAGTTGGAGTACATCGTGTAACAGCATGCCATATCAATTTCGTGTCAAGTATTTCATTCCTGAGTAAAGCCAATTTTCAAAAGCTGCTAGTCACTGTTAAGTAGCGTTTCATTTAGATAATGCTTTCCAAATGTTTTCAAGACCGCCTCTATTTCACTTCCCATGCTCTCTCTGCATCTCACCTCCACAGCAGATGATGGCGGCCACGAATAGCGCCAGGTCGCTGTCGTCGAGCTCTAGGGCATTGAACCTCATGGCGAACTGAAATTTCGGCTCCATCATGTCGCTGAAGGGCTTGCGCAGGCTCTTCAGAAATTCTCGGGTGATGAAGCCTCCGCCGCGAGCCACCAGCAGCCCGTCTTTGTTCATGCAGGAGGCCAGCAGGGCGAAGAGCGCCTCGTACACGCCGTACTTCAGCAGAGTCACCTGGTCGTTGAGGTCTAGGGTGGCAAAGCCGGGCACGGCCTTGGCGAACTCCGTCAGCTCCGTGACCGTCACCACCGAGGCGTACTGGCTGAACAGGAAGATCCGGGCCTCCACTTCTCTCTCCAGTAGAGTGGAGACATCTCTGGATGGCACGTTGCCCAGCAGCTGGGTGAGTAGTTTCCGCTCGGCGTGCTGGAGAGTGTCCATGTCGTGGATGACGAAGGGCTTCGATGAAGGATGGAGAGAGGACAGTCAGAGAACAGGTGTGCGTTCAGACCGTGCAACTCAAAGTGTGCTGAATAGCTTGTGCAATTAGTGCTCACTGTTTTCTTAATTAGCAATTGACACCCTGTCGCTCAGTGTTGGGGAAGCTACATTGAAACCGCAGCTCGCCAAGCTACTTCATTTAGAGTCATTAAAATACAGTCAATAATTAACTATTTTTGACACCAGTACACTACCAGTCAAAAGTTTTTGAACTGTAAGATTTTTAATGTTTTTATAAAAAGAAGTCTCTTCTGCTCACCAAGCCTGCATTTATTTGATACAAAGTACAGCAAAAACAGTTCAAGGAGAAATTTGAAATATTTGTATTATTTAAAATAACTGTTTTCTATTTGAATATATTTTAAATTGTAATGTATTTCTGTTATTTCAAAGCTGAATTTGAGCACCATTACTCCAGTCACATGATCCTTCAGAAATCATTCTAATATTCTGATTTGCTGCTCAAAAAACATTTATTATTGTGTTGAAAACAGCTGAGTAGGGTTTCTCTGATGAATAGAAAGTTCAAAAGAACAGCATTTATCTGAAATAGAAATCTTATACATTATAAATGTCTTTATCATCACTTTTGATCAATTTAATGCATCCTTGCTAAATGAAAGTATTAATTTCTATAATTTCTCCCCCCCCAAAAAAAAATATTTATATACTGACTCCAAGTGTATAATGTTACAAAAGCTTTTTATTTCAGATGAATGCTGATCTTTGGATCTTTCTATTCATCAAAGAATCCTGAAAAAGTGTACTCAACTGTTTTAAATATTGATAATAATAATAATAATAATAATAAATGTTTCTTGAACAGCAAATCAGCATATTAGAATGATTTCTGAAGGATCATGTGACACTGAAGACTGGAGTAATGATGCTGAAAATTCAGTTTTGATCACAGGAATAAATTACATTTAAAATATATTCAAATAGAAAGCAAAATAAATCGTAAAAATATTTCACAATATTACTGCTTTTGCTGTATTTCGTATAAAATGAACTAAAAAAAAAGAGAATTCTTTAAAAAAACTTTAAAAATCTTACGGTTCAAAAACTTTTGTCTGGTAGTGTAGTTCCTTAAACTACAAAAAAGCAACAAATTACTAACAAACTGACTTAAAGGGGTAATTCACCCAAAAATAAAAATCTGTCATCATTTACTCACCCTCATGCAGTTTCAAACATGTATGAATTTCTTTCTTCTGTTGAACACAAAAGAACACATTTTGAAGAATGCTGATATTCACATAGTTTCAGTTTCCATTGACTTCCTTTGAATGGACAAAAATACATTGGAATTCAACAGGAACCAAAACTGTTTGGTTAGCAAAATTCTTCAAAATATCTTTTTTATGCTCCGCAGAAAAAAAGAAAACCATACAGGTTTGGAACACATTTGTTGTACAAATGACTGAAATTACAACAAATTTGAATTAAAATTTCAAGGGGTACTTCATGTAATTATTTTAGGTCAAAGGGGGTTAAACTGACAAAAACATTTGGGATCTCTCTGCTATAATGGACAGTGTTTAAACATCGCCTCATTTTTGTTAAGCTTTAAAGTTGCATGAGCAATACAACATAAATGACAAGCGAGTGAGTGAGTGAGTGAGTGAGTGAGTGAGCTAGTGGGTTAGTGATTCCATAACACAGCAGTCGCTCACCGGAGTGCTGGTCTTGCCCGTGAGAAACACGCGTGCTTTGGCTTTGTTCATATGGAAGTGTTTGAGGTAGGCTTCATGCATCTGTCTGGCCAGACTCTTCGTGTCCGGCTGCTGGGACTTGTGCTGCTCTTTCCCGCAGACGTCCTGCTCTGCTTTCAGCCTCTGCTTCTCAGATTGGGGTATGCGCCCAAAACGGATAGCTGTAAGACCCCACCCCACACACACACACACACACACACACAGTGCCAATGAAACCAAATGCAAGCTCATGCATGCTGCCACAGACAATGTAATGTATAAAAACAAAAACACATACTGTATTCATACATGCTTAAAATGTTCATACTAGGGCTGATTAAAAAGAAAAAAAAAACAGTAATAAATAAACAAATTTTTTATTTTTTTCTCTGCATTTTCCTCTTCTCTTGTTTCCTTCCTAATCTAGTTTTCTAATAAACCTGACATTGTATATTATGATTATTGTTGGCTTTTTTTTTTTTAAAGTGCTTTTGTTCCTCTTTTGTGTTGCTTTGGATAAAAGCATCTGCTAAATGTTATGTGAAATGTTACATTAAATAAATAATGATTTGTTACTTAATTAATTGAATTAATTAATTCAATGTTTGTTTTATTTCCACATCACTGACTAACAGTCTACAGTCTGCTGTGTTGCAGTTGCATTTGTCAGTCTGTCTGAGAAAAACTTAATATTGCAGATAAAATACAAGAATGTGAAAAACATAAACACTTTTTAACTACTGGTCTGTGTGCAGATCTACACTCGAATTGCTCGGATTATAGGAAAATCCCCAAAACTAAAATTTGGGTCAGGAGGCACTGATTGCGTTTATTTGCGTTATTTTTTAAAATAATTAATCACAGTACAATAACGTATTGAATCGTCAGCCCCAGTTTATACACAAACCAAAAGTAGTACAACTTTAGGTCAACACACTGCTGCCACTTCATCAGTACCGGGACAAAGGGCAGACGACGGTGGGGTTGGGGAGTTGTATGGCGTGATATGATACAGATCTGCCTCTGAAGGGATTGTGCTAACAACGGCACATGACATTAGCCCATTAACAGAAGAAGCTATCCTCGGTTTGGGTCAAAGTCTCGTGAGAGAACGGGACGGCGTATCTTCCGTGTCGCCTGGTTCATCTCCGGTCATGCTGCTTCTGATAGCACTTGGAAGGTGTGGATTTGTGCTACGTCATGATGTCGAAGCTAAGAGTGTGTAAAAAAGGTTGTTGTTCTCTGTTTTGATTCTAATCTAATTGGCCTGACCTTTAATTACAGAACTAAATAACTACATATTACAAATTATTATTGTCATAAAACAGAACACCATCTTGATTTCAGATAAAGCAATTAAAGATCTTAAATCATCAAGCCATAAACTGATTCTGTATAATCTAAGTCAGAGATATGCTCTTTGTGAAGCTCTTACCGTTGTGGGACATGCCCACTGCAAGGCACTTGCGGAAACGGCAGCATTGACATTTGTTGCGGTTCTTTTTCTGGATCTTGCAGTTGCGTTCGCACTTGTCGTACTCCAGTTTGAGTCGAATGGTTCTCCTGAAGAACCCCTGTGGAAAATTCATGAAAAAACACATGCAAGTTGACATGATTAAAAAAAAACTATTTCTGCAGGTTTTATGAAGGGAAATGTAAGACTTTTTAAGGCATTTTAAAGACCTTTTAAAGACCAAGTAAAGACATTTTCTGAATGGAATACAATGTCAATGCCCTCAAAGTTTGAAAATACAACTTCAAATAGATCTCTATTACTTTTTAATTCATTTTCCAAAAAATAAATAATTAATTTAAATTAAAAAAATAAGACTTGAATAGCTCTGCTCCCAACCACGAGAATTTGGACATAACTCTTGCTTTCCAGTGCAACTGTCCAAAGATTCTTAAATCAAGATACATTTACTTGCGAAGTAAAACTACACAAAGTAAGAAGTCTTGTTTTATGAGAAATTGATCCAAATAAAGTCAGTTTAATACAAGAACAAATATCTGCCAATGGGCTCATCAAAAATCTTAATTCACTGGGGAAACTAGTTTTCATACCCCATTGACTAATATTTGTTCAAGTATAAACTCACTTAATTTAGTTTAATTTCTCAGAAAACAAGACTCCATATGTATTTAAGGATGTTTAGATTTTCGTACTGGAAAACAGACAAAAAATACTGAGGAAAATTCTTTGCAGTGCGTGCAACATTTAATGCCATAACTTTATGTTTAAGACTTTCAAACCTTTTTAGGCTTTAATTTGTGGAAGGGTGAATTAAGACTGTTTGGTCAGAATTTATATGATACCAAATTGAACGTCAACTTGTTCTTGCACCGCTTTGTAATATATTTATGTTTACATTTTGAATTGGTTTTATAAGAACTTTAGCCCCTAATTTCCAATACAGAGCAGAATCACACAAAACTGTAATAAAATGACCTTGATAAACTGAACGCTAATTGCACATGCGATAAGAAGGCTGATTCACAAGATAACAATATTCATTTCTCAAGAACACAGCATATCTATGAACAAACACAGATGTACAGCTAAACTCAATGTTGCTTGCACAAAGGTGTTACAACTTATAGAAGCATTTCCGTTCTGCGTTACTAAATAATAATAAATTAAAGACATTATGCCTTTTGAGAAAGGTTCTTCAGAGAAACGTACTTACAGTCTTCAAAGCAAAAGAAAAGCATGCATAACCTGATGCTAAATGCTTTGTCAGAAATTAGTTACTGAGGTCTTGCGTAGGATGCTTGGGGAAAGGTGCACTGGGATTATTGCTGTTTACCATTCAGATAAAATCAAATAAAAAAGCAAGAATAATAATGTTGGTGCAGTGAATGAAGGGCTAGCAGAGCTTTGAAGAGTCTTCCCACACATCTTCATCAGAATAGACACTGTGGACGGGTCCTGGTATGTGTAGTAAGGGTCACGGTTACAGCACAGACATTCTGTGTCCCTCCAGGCGAATTATTTAACTGGCAAAAAGCGGAACGCGTTCCTGACAATGGAAACAGGTATCAGACGAGAGCTCGGTCTCATGACAGACTGTCATGGATCGCTCCCAGCGCTAAAAACAAGCGATGATGCATCTCTATGCACCGAATATACCATACGATAAAACCGGACTGAGGAAACGGCTCATCACAGTACAGCCCCTAAATATCAACCAAGGACAGACACACCTTCCATGCTGCTGATGCATTATTTCCTACTGCTCTTAAAAGCTTTAGGAAGTTAAGTTTAAAATATATTTGCATGCTGCAAATGACTCATTTATTCTTCCAGATTTATCTCAAAAGAAAACATAAACATAAATGTTAAAAATGTCATGTGGAATTGCTTTTTTAAAGCAAATTACTAAACAACTAGGTGGCACTTTAAAATAAGCTTCTACAAATTAACATTAGTTAACACATTAGTTGGCAAGAAATAACAATGAACAATTTTGCAGCATTTTTTAATCTCGGTTATTGGTAATTTGTCCATATACTAATAGAGTGCTGCATATTTACAGACCAACCCATAAGTTACTATCATTCTGGTTAGCTTGGCTTTTGGATTATTGCAGAAAAAAGGCTCTGTGACCTACAAAAGTTTATGATTCTTAAGCATTTTGTTTATCTTTACAAGATCTTCAAAAAACAAAACAAACAAACAAAAAAAAACTACTTGTATGAATTCTGACACTTAAACACATTTGCCAGAAGAAACAAGTTAAAGTTAGGCTAGTAAGTGGTGTGCATACACGACCAAAATTCGCTGGGTAAATAAGTTTAGACCATTAATTTGTGTACCTAAATGGTTGACAGCTGCACAATCAACTGAAATTCTGTCATGACAACTCGAGTTTAGCATGGTAATATACATGACAATGTTAATGTGTTTGGTCTTGGCGGAATAGATTTGCTACGCTGCTGTGAAAGAGCAAGTACGGAGACTTGCTACTGCCAATACATCCACAGACATGCTGCTGTGAGCATGTAAGAGATGCTGCTGCTGCACAAATAAAATATATATAAAATAACCCCCATATATAACAAATCAGCCTGTAGCAGATCTATACAGGTGGAGCTGGGGAAGGTGGAGGATTTTCAAGTGCGCTGCAACTGCTACAGCAAGCACTAGTCGAGTATTTTAATGTTGAGCAGCAAGCTCATTGGCTGCTGATGTGAAAAGAAACCAATCAGCTGCACCATGTGAATTATGATGTCATTATGTCAGATTGAGTTAGACCTATCGGTCTGTGCCATCTAGTGTTTTATGACAGAACTTTGGATTACTGATTACTGTAAAAAATTTCCAATTGAACTGAAAGCATAAACCTAGGCTATGCACTGCTGGTTTCAGAACAAAATTCAAAACTGAGACAGTACATTCACTGACTCACTTCACTTGGCAGTGCTAAAACAGGCAAGCACGCATTCTTACTTGCCAGAAACCCGCCAAAATAAAAGCTTGCTGATTTTAGGTTTGAAATGATGAAAATTCATAGAAAAAAGTAAAAGACAAATAAAAAGAAAATGTAAATATCAGTGTTGTATTTTTTAACTGTACTATAAAATAATTATATTTTTATTTAATACTCCCTTTTTATTAAAATATAGTATTAACACACTTTATTTATATTTTTATTTAATTTATTTGTTTATTATTTTATTAAAACAAAAAATGAATAAAGTGCATTAATACCATTATTACTAATATTAATTATTTTATTTTTTATTGCTATATTTAATGGGTCACACTATGTGCAGAGTGAGCATCAACAGGGCTCCAGACTGTTTGCGACCATTTTTTCTGCCGGTGCGTGTAAATTTTGTGCGCGGTCGCACTGGCGCAACCACTGCGTTGTTCAACTCGCGTTGCCATTTCTATTGCATATGAGAAAGATAAAACGGCAAACAAAACAAAAGAGTAACAAAAGCTCCTAAATGATCCAATTTGAATGTTATTTTCAATGGGTTGACCAAAATATACTGCGGTGAACAAACACTTACGTAAAATTAAAAAATACATCAAATCACCATTATAACCTGTAAATGCCAGCAGAGGAGCACTTATTGGCTTATTAGTCATTCATTTATACTTTTTCCTTTATATTTTGAAATTATAAAATCACTATTATAAAACATCAAATCATCAAGAAATCAGATTTTTGTCAGTTTCACTCTTTTTTGTGTATGAAGTAAAAAACGTCACAAAGTGATTTGAAAAACAAACTTTTGTTCAATTTGCGACTAAATCACACAAAATCACTTGTTGGTCAAGCTGTTGGTCAATTTCATATAAGACTATAGGAGAGTAATGGTACATTTAATAAGAGTACAATATTATTTTCTACATAAAAATTAAATTTTGCACGTTACTGTTGTTAATAAAATATATTTTGTAAGCTTCCCAACTCAAGCTTAGTGCTTTACTGTCAAATGTGTATAAACATATGGGATGACCAAAATATACTTTGTGGTAAACAAACACTTATGTAAAATCTAAAAATTAATACATCAAATCACAAATATAGGCAGCAGAGGAGCACTTATTGGCTTATTAGTCATTCATTTATACTTTTTCCTTTATATTTTGAAATTATAAAATCACTATTATAAAACATCAAATCATCAAGAAATCAGATTTTTGTCAGTTTCACTCTTTTTTGTGTATGAAGTAAAAAACGTCACAAAGTGATTTGAAAAACAAACTTTTGTTCAATTTGCGACTAAATCACACAAAATCACTTGTTGGTCAAGCTGTTGGTCAATTTCATATAAGACTATAGGAGAGTAATGGTACATTTAATAAGAGTACAATATACGTCTTTTCTACATAATAAAATAGATTCTCAAGCTTAGTGCTTTACTGTCAAATGTGTATAAACAAGAAATGAACATGTAACATTATTAGTAACTGCACTTATTAATGCCAAACCATATGTAATTTATATGATATATATATATGTCATATCTCTCTGAAATAAAAAAAATACTGCACATTGTAATCTCTATGAGTTAAGTCTATTTATTATCAAAGCACTTGTCAGTAATACAGTTAAAATGGGGAAAATATGTGAATTCCAGTACAAGGTCCTACCCTTCGGGCTGTCCATGTCGCCCCGTGTCTTCACAAAAGTTATGGAGGCAGCCCTTGTTCCCATGAGAAAACAGGGCATTCGCATTCTCAACTACCTCGACGATTGGCTCATACTCGCTCAGTCTCAGGATCAGTTGTGCGAACACAGGGATTTGGTACTTTCACACCTCAGCCTGTTGGGCCTTCGGGTCAACTGGGAAAAGAGCAAACTCTCCCCGACGCAGAGGATCTCTTTTCTCGGTATGGAGTTGGACT